TTCCGGCGGGAGCCCAACACTCAGTCTCTGTTCCTCTTCCGCTACTCAAGGGACTTATTTGTTACTCTGACACATACTGCTAACCCTCTCCATGCCAGGCAGTTCTTCGCCCACGGATAATAGACTTAGATATCAGATAATCACTGCGTACTTACGCATAGTCGAAATTGTCCAAATTGTGATGCTTATTTTTGTTGCTCCGAGGATGGGTTGCAGGATCCGGTTTGTTCTTCTGGTTAACATGACTCAATCACCTATGTTTTACATGTCCTTGTTCCAACTTTATTTGGTGACTTTAACCTTCCTCCATATGCTTATTCGCAGTCCCTCATCGTAATTCGCCGGTCGAAAGAGGGATCATCCCCTTTCAGTCATGTAAGCTTAGCTTACCAAATCAAAAGCCCCATGCGATCTACTTGTTGCATATGTGCCAATACGCTTTATAGTATCTCGCATATATATTCGTCACTGTTCGCTCTCCGATCATCAGCGATCATTAAAGTTTAGTTTGCTAAACTCTAAACTCCGAGCTTTATTGTCGTTTACCAACTACATAATGCTCGCCTCCGGTTAACGTTGTTGCGTGGAGCCTTATGGTCACATCAATTTATCTGTCTTTATTTTCACAATATACGATGTCACAGTATCAGTTTGGATTGCGACGTCAGCGGCCGTTAACAAACAAGCTGGAAGACCAAATTCGATCAGTGCTTACGCACAATAAACTATACAAAAATACCTGGGGTTGCTTGTCTCAACCACCTTGCCGTGTTTGGATGGTGGGTCTCTGTTGATTCGGTCGATGAAAGGAATATGGTTCCTTCGGGCGCCCTGAAACGTCATTTGTCTATACGTTTTACGATTGACAGGAGGCATTGAGGGGTGAATTGCTCAACCATTTAGACAAAGTTCGCATCATTAGGAGTATTGTCCCGGTTTATTCGACGCACAGCTCCGAAGAAGGTTCCCGTGAGTGAATACATGGCTCTCAGTCATTTCAGCTTGAATACTGGGCTGAACAATCTACCTGCTCGGTGTACCACGGTTTTTCTTTAGGTTACCTGAGTCCAGCTGAGCTGTTGATGTCGCACTACTAAACATCGATGTTGTCCACCAAATTTTGACGTCGTTGTTGCGGAACAGGGGACGTGGCCCCGACCACCTCCCTCCATCTCTATTAACAAGCAACCGCTTTGTTCAAAACTATTTGTTACGCCGTGTGATTGGCGTTTGTCCGATATAATTCCACTTTTTAATAAGCCATTTCCCCCAAACTCCTCACTGGTCCAATTGATGAATGAACTATTGGCTTTCGCACTAGTAGATAGGTTATTAACCGCCTCCTATCACTTCACTATAGCCTAGAACCGCATCATGCGTATGCATATGGCTTTTCTCTTTCTGTAAAGTCGTGCTGCTATGAAGAAATTGCCGGTGTCATTTCTCCTTCACTATAATGCAATCTTTGTGCTCACCTAGGGAGATCTCACAACGACATTGGAGGTGCAGCAGTATTTTTATCTCCCTTTCTTACTATAATCGAACTGACTATAGCTTACATTGTCCTGTTTTTCTCCGCTTCTTATAATCTTTAGGTTCCTTCGAATGTCTGCTTTTCAGTCATGGGGTACTTGAACGCCATTGCTCTCTCCCTCTCTCTTGCTCTCTCTCACTCACTAATCTGTGTGTTAGCTAGTATGTAAGCACTGCGGAACAAGTAGATGCATAGAGCCACGCGGTCCAACATGTGGTTCATTCACACTTTCAAAGCGAAGTTTAGCGTTACAGAACTGGGCCAACACACTAAGGGTTTCCTCAACCACTGAACACCCGCTCGAGGTGGTCGATCACTTTATCTATCTAGATGGTTGTACACCGCTGGTTAGTCACGTGATTATAGAGATTGCTATATGTACTGGTAAGGTGTGTGCAACTTCAAAAATGCGGAGGCTTCTGGTAACAATCGAATCCGTTCCAGTAGAACGTAACCTTTAGTTATGCATAAGATTTTCGGCCAAAAGCCGTTCCCCAGCATCCTGGCCACGGATGACCTGGCATTCTTAATTTGGCCTGGACAATTGGCCTGCGATATGAATAGCCCCCAGATGACATTTTTTGATCTCACAAATTGGAGAGTGCACTGCGTAGATTCTGAAGCGGACGCTTTTATCATGCTTTTGTGACATTGTCCTTTTCGTTTGTTTTAGTGAATTAGAAATAGAAATCCAGATCGGTCCAATTCAGCGAGTATTCAGTGTTTCGCGTTACATGAGAAAAACAGGCAATCGATCTATTCGCATAAATTCTGAATTTAGACATACTTATTCTTACAGGCGCATGAACTTTCTGCTTTCTTAACTAACTTCTCCTGAAATCAGCTTCTCACACGACAGTTAATAGTCGCCAGTCTGAAGGCATCTTTCCGGTGTCCCAAATCGTGTTGAATGGAGCAACAGGTCCAGTTAACGAAGGGTCCCTTCCGTCTTTTAGCAAAGATGGAAGAAGCTCTTCGAGTCCTGCACTCTTGTTTTGTTTCAACACCGCAATCTTATGTCGGATCTCTTCCAAAGTGTGTGGTGTGACATCGACATCTCACCTCGGTTCAGGTGGTCCAGCAAGTGCTGTGTCGCAGCAGACCTGCTGAACTACTCTTTAAAATGTTCTACCCAATGGGCTAGTCGATAAGGCTGAGAATGCATCAACTATCTAACTTTCTCAGCTATTATCTCACTAACTGATGGGTTTCTCGGACCTGTGTTCCGGATGAGATGGAATAGCCCTCAGCTGTTTCCAATAGCACTGGCTTTTTCCACCTCAGGGGCCCTTGCCACCCACCAACGTTCGCGGTCGATTCGAAGACTCCTTGTCAGTCATCGTTTCAGAGCGTCACAGACACGCCGAAACTCACTACCCATTGACATCTGTTTCCGTGCTTCAGTCAAACTGATCGATGCCTCAGATGCATTCAAAGTTAGGACGTCCCAAGTTAGGTGCACAGCAGGCGTGAAAAGCATTCTTCATGGCACACTTGAGACGCTCCCAGTTAGCCTTTGACTCACCAGCTCCATCCATCACTAATAATGGATGGGCTAGTTTGTCATAATTTTGTTGAAATGCGGACTGCGAGTTCAAGTTGCAGATAAGAAGGTAAGAAGATAGGCGCTCTTTTGAAACGGAAAGAGTGTTCGCCAGATGTGTGCACACTAGGGAATGGTCGAAATTCATGCACGTGCTTCTATTTGACCGACAGTCTTGGACTGATTTGTGCCATCTGTAGCTAATGACAATATGGTCATTCTGGGTCCAGGTCATTGAGGAATTCGGTGGGCGCCAGGTGACGCGATGCGAACGCTTGTGCTGGAAAGCAATGCTACGGTAATTGAGTACGATTGTCTGTTCGTCGTGCATCAACGCCGTAGCGGCCTCCCACTTGTTGTTCAGAGTCTGAGAGGCTACCCACTTGGACATTCATGTCACCAACAACAATCACGATGTTATTATTTTTCACCATGCGAAGAGATGAGCACTGACTGTGAAAATCGTTTTTGATACCCTCCGAATTGCAGGCGTTGAAAACACCTTTCTTCATACGGTGCTTATTAACCCCGATAGAGGTTCGAAGTCGAATCGCACACATGGGGCTGTTCATCGACACAAAGTGGAGTAGATTGCCCTATGCATTCCACCGAAAAACGGATAAGTGCTTTACTCAAAAGAGCGTGCATTGTGGCGGAACTGCGGCTGCTCACACTGACAAAACTGCTTATATGTTCTATTTAGACCGGCGATGAAGCAGTGCATGTTCCACTGTCCATAGAAATTTACCTGTAGCTATGGAGCCAGCTACGTTGGACGCACTGACCGAAGTCTAGATGCCGAATCAATGTACACATCCCCAAGTGGTTACTCAGCCTTATTGGACCTGTGATGACCGAATCAGTTGAATCGGGCAGCCGAGCTGCTTTGGCAGTCACAAAGCACTTGCTTACCACCGGGCACCGCGTACATCCTGATAAGCCATTCATAGTCCTATTGCTTGATCGGCTGCCTCACGTGCTTAGGCTAATGGAGGTCATCGTTATCGAACGCGAGCGACAGCCGCTGTGCATTCAAACACTGCTGACTGTGACTTTAAGCCTACCATGGTAGCGCAAATGCGTGGCTATTTACGATCTCTTTGACATTATGGTTGTTCGTTTACCTATCATTATTGCATGTTTTGTGATCGATAAGAATGCACGAAATGGCGATTTCATCTCACCATCTACCTCTTCTGATTTTCCTGTTCGGAATTATAACGGGCACTTCTTGTTTCAAAATTCCGCTTGCTTGCTGAGGGCGATCCCCACATCGCAGCTACCTTTGCGCGTTATAGCTATTCAGTTGATGTGGCGGGAGCTTACCGGAGCCAGATTTTGTGTAGAAAAAAGGTATAAGTAATGCGCCGGTACGCAGTACCGACACTTCGCTGTCACGCGACCACCACCAGTAGCACCTGGATTAAGGATGCTGCGAAGGTCGCCTGGTCCATGCGCAAGCTCGAATCCACGCCCTCGGATTACAAGGCAGATTTGTAATACTTAAGGTTATGGACCAGAGGCCAACTTTTGTGTTTTACTACAGCAACATCAGTTCACTTCGCATGTCGTCGATTCTCGCACAGCACGTGGTATCGACCTCCACGTAGATTCAGACTGTCCAGCAAAGCATACTACCGGGACCTGTAGATTTAATTACCCATGAAGTTGCTTTGATCTGACTACTGTTCATCTGTTTTACTTGTTTTTGATACTTTTCAGTTTCTGCACCCGATTGAGAACGAGTAGACATGTTTTCCGCTTCTTTAAACACCTGTTCTTTTTTCTAGGTCTGCCTTCTGTCTTTCCATGAAAATCGTGTTTAGATTACAGTTGATCGCCATTTTTCTATGCTGGCACTCATTTTTACTTCTCTACCTTCCCCATCTTTCTCCACTCTTTGGTGCACTCATTCTGCCCAAGGATCCAGAACGGGTCCTCCTCCGGGGATTTCCAGCACTTCAGATACTGCAGTGGAACAAGGAGTAGAGGTTTCTGAAGAAATGGTGAGCACGCTTCCCGTTGTATAATGCATGTCCTTAGTTACACCTTATCATCCGAATGCATTCTTCATCGTCTAGTCCAGCTTTCTTTTTGCCTTCAGAGTCGGCAAACGATCAGCTCTTTATCACATGAGACTGGCAGCATGTTTCTTTAGGACGGGGCTCATCATTCACTTTGAAAGGTGACTAAGGTATTACAGGCGAAAAGAGCTTATTGACCTTATTGTGCGCATATATTTCTCTTCAGCGGGTCACTTCCTTACAAGGAAATTAATCTATGAAACATTCATTTGCCTGCACCCTTCGGTATCTAATGCGCATTTATGTCCAGCGAAGGCACTGGTTTATTAGTTTATAAGCACTTATCCGTTGATATGTTGTGGTATGAGCATTGTAATGGGAGCTGTTTGTATTCGCCTACGCATTCCGAATGAACAGACAAGAGGCCGCTTATGATCGATTGTCCACCACCAGTCGAGCAGCGACGCCCACACGCATGAACGAGAATCGCCTTGTACGTTCACACGACCAATCGACTCGATCGATGAATATGCCAAGTCGGAATCGCCCAACGCAGCGTAGATTGCCATATATAAATAATCTGTTACCTTCTGATCAAAAGCGATTCCGACCGCAGCCCAATCTTTGGTCTTGATTCCCAGAGTTTGATGCACCATACCACCCACTTTCGGCTCACCTTCTTCAGATGTTCGTTACTGACCTATCGTTGTTGTATATGCCATTTGCCAATTCGAGCTTTAGGCTATACACAGGTCGATGCAACGAAGAAGCTTGACAGGGCGAATCGAATGATCGAGCCGCGTTCGGGGCTTATTGCTTCACCAATTTCGATTCAATACATCTATCTCATCAGCGTTTAGGAGCGGTGCCCCTTACCTGGATCGACCGTACAGCCAGTGATAACTTATCACCGATTTCGGCGGTTTCTACTTTCGCTCCAGACATGCCTCTTTCCCTCGACGGTCTCAATATGACTTTTAGGACACTTTCCCACATCCACCCACGGCATATCGTACGGTTGTTTCTAGTAATACCGGCATCTAATCTCATAGTCTGTGCCATTTGGTCCCACTCAATATTCATCTCCTACAATCACCGCCAACTACTTCGGAGAGGATCCTTCGCTTTGTCTTTCTTACTTTGTTTCTGTATCCTTGGCATCAGGATTTAAATAATACAGGTTAAAGCTCATCAGACATCCGTCATATGTCTGGAAAAGCACCGCACGGCCGTTTCATCTTTTCGGGGATCTTTAGGTCACATTTCACGTCCTCTGTGGAACTATACCCCGCTACCTTCTTTTTACGAGTCCGGAATTAAGACCACTGGGCTATGGTCGACAACAATCTCTACACAGCAGTAATGTGCAAGCCAGTGGAGAGTTAAGCGTACCGTATCACATTTATTAACCTAGTCATGTCGGTCGTCCACTCCCGCCCTGTGACCCAGTAGTCTCACCACGGTTGTGTGATATGAAGTTCAACTTTTGCCAATTTCGGCATCATTACAACCTGGGTTTCCGAGATCACGGATTTCATCTATTTGTATTGTCATTATTTCAACATGCATCAAGGCGGCTAACTCCTTCACACCACGGTGCACAGGTCGCAACTAGTTGTTGAAAAACTTATACTGTTTTCCGTGGGTGTATCCGAGGTAATTCATGTTTTTCCATTCCAGTTAGCAAACAGCCAGCCCGGATACAACCGGTCCCCGTCACCCCATATGACAAACGGGCCGATCCACGTTTCATGTTATTCTGCGCCCCCTGATGCAAATCGCCGATACCCACAATTACAGTCGACATCGTCTCCACACGAGGTCTCCGTGGACACGGTGGTTTGTGGTATGTTAGCTCGTATTTTTGTCATTGCAAACCAGAATGCGATTGATGTGAACTGATGTTGAGCATCCTATTACTTTTTTATACTGTATTCTTTATTGTTCTGTATCTTGCTTTTTTAGTATATTTTTTTGTGTCTCAGCACTTTGGCTGAAGTGTGTTTCTCACCTTCAGCTAGCGTGTAATAATGATGATGGCTTGGGAAGTACCACTTACTGTAAGCAAAAGCATAAGGGTACGTACGAACTTGTGTGTTCATCGTGGGTCCATACATAATGTTTGGGGTACCCAAATTGCCTTATCCAGTTGCCAGCATCAAGCCTCTCAAGGTGATCTGTTCCGTCCCAGACTATTACTCAGTGTCCTCCCGAATTTTTACATCTCTTGGCTTCCCCCATTCAGAAATACGCTCTTCATTAACTTTGTCTTTCTATTGCTATCTGGCTGCGCTTATCGCGCCCTCGCTCTTGAAGTGCACCAATAGGGCGAAATGCGTCTGGTGCTTTTCCGGATTAGGCTGTGCTAGGTAGCTTGTGAGCAGTTGGGACGAAAACATTACAATTATAATTAAAAAATCCTCCTACTCATTAGTAAAACAATGTGACTGTTGTCGTTTTACTTGATCAAAAAGCATACTTAAATGGACATCATTGTTGTTCTGGGCCTCAGACCGATAACTCAGTGAGCAGAACTAAAATTTCGAACCTGAGAATTCCGGGATTTTTATATCCTCCTCCGATGGATGTTAAGATTACATGGTGTTATCTGACATGCAGTCTCCAAACTCCAGTTTCGGTTCAAAAATCATTGCTGAACCCGGCACACAACTCGTTTCCGTAGCATAGCATGGAAGCATCAACACAACCATTCAAACTGGTACTTATTAGGCCGATCATATGTGTGACAACTGGAGCAGGGTTTTCAAGTCAGCTAATTTTCTACACTCCCAGACAACTATGTGTGCTGAACCCTCAATTAAACTTACATCAACATCGCATACTAATGGGTACATGATAATCGTAGTGAGGCTTACGATGTTGAAATTGACCCGACACATACACTTCGTCACTTTGCTTCGGACATACATGAATGCTTGATCGTGTAGTTGCTGGCTTGTCGCCTTCCTTGCGGCGTGCGACCAGTTGTGATATTGTCCAGACATTTTGTTTGTACTCCGCGAGTTGCCCGTTCGAATCAGTACAGTTGCATGCGAGTTCACACTGTCCGAGCGCACGCACAGCCGCTGTTGCTTGTGTGGTCTAATCACCTAATGTATACCAGGTTCCCTCGCACTGGAGCCACCTTCCTCCGGCAATATGTCATTCTACCAACATGGTGTCTATCAGTCCAGTGACTGCTTTTTTCATCCAGCTCATCGTTATTGGTGGCAGTCACGGGATTCAGGCATTACAACTCTGATGCGCGTGCTTCCCCGTCTTTTTACATTGAGCAGTTCATTTACCTCTTTGTCCTACCGCCACATCTCGACGCACGCACCATTCCGATTTAGGACATGTCGTGACGTTGCGGTTTGCGGTACGCACACTGCGTCTTTGTGATATCACAGTAGCACTTACCCGAGGAACCGCCCTCACTTATCCCGGTTGATGTTTGCCTACATCTTAGTCGTGCAACCAGGTTACCACCTTGAATTAAACCATAAGGAGGGACACAAACATTGCACACTGACGCATATGTGGGTGGTCAGTCAAGTGAGATCGCTCTTCCTACGATGCAATACAAAGTATGAATGCACACTAAAGATACTGATCACTTATTCTCACGAGTATTGTAGATTCACTACCCATTATTCGTGGTTGGGTGTTTAGTTGTTCAGAATGCGCTGAGAGCGAGAATACGAAGGAGTCTTAGTTGCAAACTATCCATGCCGTGGCTTAAGCGGGAGTCGATTCGACCGTCTCTTGTCTGAGGTGCACACAGTCACATGTGTGTGTGTTCTGACGAGGTCACAAAAGGTATCTTTGCTCTGTGTTTTGCTTGTTCTGGCATAATATGCTCCGATGAGGGTCATTTGCACTTTTTGGATAGGTGGATATCTCGATAAATCCATTAATGTGTCCGGCTACATGGAACTAGAAATGTATGTGGTCTTGCGATTCGCTTTGCCTGACATTAGTTAAACACACCAAGCGCCGTAATGTTACAGCAGTACTCTCACACCGTAATCTGAAGTCTGTCGACAACAGGAACAGTCTGTACGCAAACGGACTACGCCTGCTTTTGAGCACTTAGACGCAGCTTCTGCACTTGGTCTGAAGTGATTGTCACCCCTCTGTTCTTTTCCATTATATGACCGGTGCTTGAATACAGCTCATCCGCCTATTGTCTGGTGACCATTGGCGAGGTGCACAGTCTGGAAGGAGTTCAACGTGTAGCTACCCGGCTCATTCTCACCCTACGAGGTATGCCGTACGAGGACCGATGTAGGTGACTAGGGCTTCCTACGCTGTCACATCGTTGGCTTCGAGTTGATCTCATTATGACGCACCGGACACTACACCTGGGCCACTCCCCTAAGTTGAAGCCGCTGCTGCACGTTCGCGCACCAAGCAGCACACGCGGAAATTCGTACATCCTAGTAGTAACGGATTTAAAGCGCATCGCTCATCCTCTATGCTTCGGGCCTCAAGTAGTGAGATATTGGAACAAATTGCCGGAGACGCTGGTCGAATTGCAATCGATTTCGGAATTTAAGAGATTTCTTGACGTCCACTTTGCGGACTACAGGTATAGGGATCGTATCGCCCCCCGATAACATATAGTGCAGCTACAATATGCTGCCTGCGCGCAAGAATCAGCGACGTGATTCCGCGCATGTGCCCGGTCCACCTACGATGGAGTAGCACAGTTTTTTTATTTTCTCGCTCTCTATTCTCAGTATTCAGCATCCATCAACGTCTAAATCGACCTGTGCCTTTTGCTTTGCCTCCTTATGTGTGTTACATTTTAGTTAGCCTTACAAAAAGTTCCTAACTGTGCATCTGCTGGGTATTTTATCGTTCAACTCTTTTCTAACGATTGTGTACTCTAACTTGGACAACGCACTTTCACAGTACAAAGTGGAGCATTTGCTTTCCTTTGCTAATCACCTTTTAATACTTTCTAATCCTCTGTGTCACAGTCCCTACGCTTTCAGAATCTGGTGCTAATGAGCAACTCAGTACTTCAGAATTGGACACTTCTTATTCTTTGGTCACGTAAGTACCGCCGTTACATCCTAACCTACACCCATTTCATCTCCATTAAGTATCGCTTCTGTACCCGGTCTCGATAGCTTCTCAGATGTCAACTGTTGACCTACCACATTTTAGGGCACTCAGCTATCCGCTTCGAATTGCTGTTTTTTGTTAGTAATCTCTTCAGTTGATGCCACAGACAGTTTGTATCACTCTCTTCGCCGAAGTTCTGAATTCAAGGGATCCTTGTCTGCGAAAGTTTGCTCTTCCATCAGTCTTTGTCTCCTCACCGGTTAAGCACGACCTCTTTCACAGTACTCATGATAACATGCATTCCGAGGAGACCAGTTTTAATGGTTGGAGCGCCGTCCGTTTGACTAGACAGCTACAGGACGAGGTGCGCAAGTATGGGCGCAGTTGTTTGATCCCCAAACATCATGTTATACATTCCAGCTGCTTCGGCTTCTTTGATGTCCACTTGGTGTGCCTCTTGCGCAACACCCCAAGGGCTGTCATCATGGAATACTTGAAGCTAAGACTGCCACCTTTCACTACGTCTTGGTGCGGATCTTTATGATGTAATCACGCTCTCTTCCACTATTCCCGTTCTATCAGCTCACCTATATAATCTTAGAATGCGCAACATTATCAGTGCGCCTGTGCATTGTCTACTTTAGATTGACATACTCGCTTTGTTCTTTGGGTGTGACGTCAAATATCAGTTGGGGCCTCGAGTTTTACCTGGTCAAACGCGGACCATCCAAATCGCCCACATTTACTTTGTCTCTGTTCTTCGGCACAACTCACTTCCAATCCCGCACTTCACTCTTCGCTTGGATTCTTCAGATCCAAATAGCTGAAGGTGGGAATCAACCCATAGACACATTTTTACGGTAGGCACCTTACAACTAAGCCGCCGGTCTCCATCGACAGCATTTACCCAGATCGTTATGAATTCAGAATAGGGTTTTGGGATGCTCACTGCATGCTTGGGGTTTAACACACAGTTTTTAACTCGTTCTCTTCGAAATCGGTATCCTAGCCACAAAGCATCCGCCGGAATATTTATGGTGCCTAGCTCGAGCAATCACCAGCTTAAGCATCCAAACACAAATCTAGCCGGTCGTGGAGTTTAGCGGTAATAACTTGTGCGCACTGAATTATACTCTGGATGCGGTTGCAGTATAATCGGACTGACCGCGGTTTGTTTCAAGGTGAACTATACTTTTTGTCCTGGAACCTTTTCAATTTAACTATTCCTGTCTGGAATTACCACTATTGACGAGCTGTCAGCTATTCGGACATGCACATGTTTGTACTGTTTTCTTCATGCTTTGACTTCCGCATGTGAATCTGCTAATACTAAATTTTTTTCTCAAAAACTTCGAAGCACACTACTGCTGGCGTGATCATAATTTTCTGATCTGATGACACATTGATCTCCTGGCTCCTTTGCTGTATGCCTAATCATCATAGTGAAGGTATATATTTTAGTCAACTACTTGTCTGCATTGCTCCGTGACCCACTGCCATACTCCTGATGGAACTCTTCTTGTGCCTACAATGTCACTCATTTCACACTGGCCAGATCATGCGAACGAGGGATTCATCCTTCCTCTACCTCGGGGGTTAAGATGATATCTGTCGCTGTTTCCCCGAGTTAGAGAATGGTTTACTGCTCATGGGCCCATTTGCGCCGACGTGAGGTATTGTCGACCCTCATTATTATGGGAGGGAACACTAGTTATGCCTTCATTTGCTGCTACCATTCACCTAAAACCACACATTCCCCGGTCATGCAGGTGCTTATTGTTGTTGGCTGTTTTCCCATCATGCAATGCGATCGATATGCGCATACGAGCTGTCGATTACTTAAGAGAACTATATACAACTAGCTTTATACAATTCCTTTTGGCACCGTACAATCATAGACCCCAACTTGACCCTCTTCTTGAGTCGGCTTGCTTACTCACAGTTTGGAGTTGTGTAACGTGCACCGCAACTCGGTTGCCATTGTTCAGGATCAAAGCTTTGCTTGACTCGCAACACTGCAAACCAGCTCTTCATCCGGCCCGTGTACGTGTGATCGCTATGTGTTGCTGACTATCTTTCCTCTTTACTGGCCCGTGCTGTTTTCGCTCCGCAACCTGCCGATTACCATCACACACTCTGCTTGTTGTGTTAAATTCAGAGGAGGGCTATTCGTAGACTCTACGATAGCCCTGGGCTCGTGGTTTGATGTGTTCAGAATGCAAAGGAGTTTTTCAGATATGTCCTTCCAGAAGAGACACTGTCACTAACATGCGTCCACTTATACTAGTAATCAGCATAGGTTTGTACTCAAACTAAGACCACCGCATCACGCGGATCGAACGCAATAGATCACGAATTATTCTCCTTAGTGGTCAGCAATGGACAAAGCTGTATTCATAGTTCGTTTGCTCAGAGTACTCGATGTGTGCATGAGTTTCAGCGCGCCAGTTGCATTTCACCGATATCTGTCGGTCAATTCAGTATAGAAACCCTAGACGTTGTCCGTTCCCAACACTGCCTCCCAATCTCGGCTTCATGATGATTGTTTCACTGGAGGCTGTATACAAGGACTGCACCGCTCGTGGCGTGGAGTATCCGGTACGCGGGGACCATTGTTGTTACGACGCGTATACTGAAGTAGCATACCTTTTGCACCTAGGTTGTATCGAAGCACATGACACAGTTTTGTCTACGTTCCAGTGATTCTTATCGCACGTTTTTGACTTTGCTGCCTACAGACACAATGGGGTTAGTTTATCTACCCATCTGATAACGCGGCACGAATTGTTGCAAATGTTAGACCGGGAAAAGTCTATTGGCATGATCAACATTTATTACAGTAAAGGCGAACCATGAAGTCTATCCTCCCAACAACCTGGGAGTATGCGGTGTTGTTAGCTCACTGCGCCAGTGGATCAGCGATTTCCGTGTTAGGCTGAAGTGGAAGGCAGAGGTGGATGATCGCCTAACTGACTGGTATCCACCAGTGGAATACCGAGGCCCATTTTGTTCCTCATCCACATCAGCGAAGTACGTCAGCTTCTTCGGTTGCCTTGTATCTTGTTTGCAGACTATCTAAACATTTGGAGGGTTATTAATGCTCCTGACAACTGCGAATTACTTTAGCATGACTTCGACCGCCTGTTCATGGGATCTGTAGATGGTGATCTACCGGCAAACCCAGTCAAATCGTTATGTATTAGCCTGCTCGGCCAACCGCTACATCTCACACCTTCCGTGTATGATCTGGGCGTACTCTCACGCTTCGATTCGAAGCGTGTGGACAATACGAACAGGCTATATGGGATCGGACTGCGCATGCTTCGGGCAATCAAAGGCAGGTTCTACATTTGGTCTGAAAATATTGCCACGCGCCTCTTCTCTTCCTTCCATCATAAGACCAATGCTCAAGTACGGCTCACCAGCCTATTGTGCGATTACGATTGGCGAGGTGTAAAAACGAACGTATTCAGCATATGTCCATCTGAATCATCCTCAGTTCACGAAGTTTGACGTATGAAGACCGGTGCAGCAGACTTCGGCTGTGCACGCTGCCATGTCATCGGCTTCATAATGACACGTCAGGTAATATATCTGAGTCGGCAGGACCTTCGAATTCGCCCCGTTGCTGTTGTAATCGAATTATTATTTTATACTACTCACTGCGGATTAATTGTGCCTTCAGACATTATTTTATCCCTTGTTTAAATGAATCAATTTCATAGTCACCAATGCTGTCATGTTCTGTGCAGATCGCCTCTGGTTGTGCACGGCCACAAGATGAGAGATCCTTTCATCAGATTTGTCAATAAACATTAGGCAAACAAACATCGTGTTGGATGCCAAATAAAACTCAACGGCTGTCCCGTAAGTAAGGCACAAACTCCGCTGATCCTGTCCAACAATAAAGGATCACCTCTCGGAAAATTGGTTGATCTCGCAAACATTTTGCAGCAGGGCGAATTTATTAATGCAGGCATGGTGATGTTATAGAAAATTTGGTTGCATTCTGTCAACGATGATAAACTTGTGAGTCTCACTGGCCATCGCCATATTCGATCCGACCACACATGAGAGTGGAGGCGTCATCTTCTACATTAACAAAGATTGGTGTAAATCCGTTACAAAACTCTCGGAGTACTCAGCTACCTGTCATCGACTGGAATGCAAACCAAGTTGTATGAGCGATTTTCTAACTCTCTTAGTTGGGAACTTGAGTCTAGCTCCGGGCGTAGCGCTATTCGAGCCGCAAACGTTCGGAGATCACTTTGCTTCTAAGTTGCAACCAAAGTTAGAATGTTCCATGTGTGTTCTCGCCGGTGGCTTCAATAGGAGTGACACCGCTCCCGGTCCCTCACTCCCAACTCATCCAAGTGCTGTGACGATACCTTCTGTTTTCCACATCCCAACAGACTTCTGTCCCTTGTACGTAGTTCTCCTCACATGATTGTAGATGACCAAAGTGTACCTAGTTCTTCTACAGTAAAATCTCTCGGGGTTTTCCCATCTAACAATTTATATTGTTCTACTCATATTCTTGAAACATGCAAGTAAGTTAAAATAAACTCTCTTTGAGTTCGTCGCAATCAGCCGACAATTCAGATAACTCAGCTACCAATCCATAAACGAACCAGGCGGCCGTTTCTCCCTATAAGGGCTTGTCAGTGGTGCACATCCTTCTGTCCTCTTCCGAGGATCGAATCCTGACTGTTGGTGGCTTGCGCCAACTAGCCCGCAGCTTATGCCCCTGAGCTATGATTCTCTTTTACACCCTCAGGCTTAAAATGCTTTTCGTTCCCCGTGCTTTAATTCTAAGTTTTGTAACTGCATGTATTCTCCCTCACTGTTTATACTGTTCCCTTTTATTTTCCAAGGACTGCTTCAAAAAGGTCATGTGCTTCTTCTCCGTTCACCAACATTTATTTCTCGACGATGTGGTTTAAGGAAAGAATCGCTTATTGAATACATTTTTAGTAAATATTTTGTGCATACATCAACTTTTCATCGAGGATTTCAAACAACCCCTCTCACCCTTCACATACTAACCTAGTCTACACTATATCCACTTTTTCCACACGGTCGGAATTTAAGATTTATTTTCTCCGTACCTTGTCGTATCAAAACTCCATCCTGCCTTATCTATCACGCTTATTAATTGACCAAACGGGAATGAACCACTGCTTTCGTGACCGTATGCTTGATTGAAAACACCCCTTTTTCGTTTTACCGCTGTCAGTTTCACTTTCTCATTATTGCTATGTTATATTATACTCCGCGTTGTTAGTGTGAAGTGCCGAAAATGAGTCCATCTAAGTGGATAATACTTATTTTGACTTGACTTCCCTATCCTGGGGCCACTTTTACACGTGCGCACACCAAACAACGCTCGCGAGCACCTCTACAGGCTTGTAGTAGTATTCGACCTGAAGTGGACGGCTCACTCTGCATGCTTAGTGTCAAGTGTTGAGATATTGATTCAGTTTGAATGAGGCAATAGTCTAAGCAAAACCGTGTCAGAATTCATGTAGTTCCTTGATGCGCACATTTGTGGATTACATATTTCGAGAGCGCATCACATCTGCATTGGACGTCGCACAGTCGAACTGCGTTGACAGTGCGGGATAACAAATATCATTATTCCGCGTGCATGCCCAGTAATATCCTGATGCAACAACTAAAGTGTATCCTCTTGCTCCCTATTTTCTCTTTTCTGTATCCGCCTTTGTTGCCGTGCCCAAGAGTTCGATACTCTTTACGGATGTAATAGGGTGTTCTGCCCCAAATGCAATTCGCTATGCACACTCTCCCTAATTCTCTCTTTTAACTGACAGTGGCTCAATAGCAAACTGTAACTGGGGCACACGCGTGTCCCCTGGTGTATGTTACGTCATTGGTCCCTAGTCTGTACAGTTTCCAGGTACCACTTTACTCGGCCCTGTCCGCCCACGAATGTCACGCATTGGAAAGACCTTGGTTTATTTTTTAATTTCATTGATTCTCATTCACCGACCTGTCGTGTGTGTATGGTGCAACATCGATTTCCCAAGTGTCTCCGACCAATCTTACCAACCATAATTCATTCAACTCACGAACATTACCTGGTCTAAGATCCCTTCCCCTGATTCTTACGATTGCCAGACTATTTAAGCAACTTTCTTCATTGTAACTGCTCATAACACTCATGTTTCCCACAACGCAGTACCTCTACAGCATAAGCGGAGTCTAATCAGATCTTTCGCCTTCAGGGCGCGCAGTATTTGTGCACCAGATACCGTCAACGAAGAACTACAGAGAATGAGCGACGCCCTCAGGGAAAATGGCTATTCTGAGGAATTTATCATGAAGCATTTGAAGGAATGCAATCGAAAGTTACCTAGGAGCATTGCTCCTAATAAAGAGCTTTTCATACATATAAGGATGATTTTGCAGCTGATATGTTATCCGGACGCCTGAAAGATGCTGTCGAAAAAACTTTTTTCGCGGCCCGCCTGAGAATCGTTTTTCACAACAAGCCTTTGCTTACAAAACCGTCGTTGACCCGTTCAATGATTGTTTATCAGTACTCGTGCTCCTGTGGTGCACGATACCTGGGTCGCACGACGAGGCGCTTATCTCAGATGATTCGTGAACACATTCCGGTATGGTTTTACAAAGGCAAATGAGGTCTTCAGACAGCTCAATGATGTCCCACCTCCTTGAATGTGGCCATACAGTTTCATAGAATGACTTCAAAGTCATCTACTCACTACCTGAACACTTCTCCCAAGGATTCCGCAAACAGCTCTTATCCATCGCCGAGGCTATCTATATTCACCATCTGTATCCGGAATTATGTGTACAAAAACGATTCATACGGCCGATACTACTACCTTGGCCAACGGACACTGTTACTTAGTTATTTGGTTGTTACGTTACTTATCTAATTATTTCGGACTACTGAGTATTATATGCATGTTTATTTAGTTCACTTGGCATACCACCTATATCCTTGTCTCAAGTTATCGATTTTGATCGTTCAAACAGTCCAGAAGTCAATCCCAGCCCGAGTTGATGCTTTCCCCACAATCAGTGTTATGTAAACGTTTGGGTACGATGAGAGTTTATCGAAAAGAATTCTTCACCCTGAACTGATTTCCCACTTTTCATTGTCTTTATCTTTCTGGTTTGTAGCGCTGCACCCAACCGCTCGGCTTGTGTGAGCGAACATCAGGCATCGTACGGGGACAATACCACACATCTCCCGTCCCTTAGTCTCATCCATTCCGAGGTTCATGATGGCGAAGAGACACATGGGAAAGAGCTTACAAAATCCACTTCGGAAGACGAAAGGGTTCCACTTGAGCCAGTCCACACCATAGAACACTCCGACAATATTGCTTTCAACTCTAAGGAAACCTCATCAGCCGACAGTGTTCCGGCTTCTGTGAGGTCTCCTGAACTCAATCGCGCATCTCCGTTACCGGCTTCTCGTGAGTCGCAGGAGAACGAACAGTTCACTGGCCCTTTGACAGCAGATGTGTGGCACACTTTCATGTGCCCTACAAATTCAACCAACACCGGAGATCTACTCACCACATCTGATTACCTGTTAGGCACTAAGGACGCGGTGTTCATTCCATTTGTCGACATCGCCGGACGCGCTGTTATTGCAATTTCCCGACTCGGCAAGCCCGGCTTGGATTGGATCTTCGCTCCCAAGTCGTTCGGGATCGTGTGTTCCGTAGGTTTAACGCATTGTCCCTCATTCTTCCCTGGAGTTTCACTTAAGCCTACTGTTACATCGCGTGGCGGTGGCCTTGCTGTTGTCGGTGCGCTACCGCACTTGCCATCGGAATACTCCAATGTCGCACGTTTTACTAGGAGCAAATCGACTGTCCGATGAGAATTCTTGTCTGTCACCAACCGATTCGCGACGCAGGATTTAACGTCCGATTAGCCTCCGTATTAACTGTTTCCTTCTAACCGGCTTACAGGTCGGCCGCTGGCCGAATGGTCTGTGCGCCTGGGCTGCAACCGTAAGGTCACTGGTTCGAATCGACGTAGGGGTGGACATCCTCGCGGTATACTCAGCCCGCGCGCGACTGGTGGTGGTCGCGCGGCAGTGAAGCGCCGTTACGACGCACATCTAACACATGCTTTTTTTATTAACCGGCTTACAGAATTTGATCAATTCCTTTCTACCTCGAATGTCGGACTTCCATCTTTTAATTAAAAACAATCTTGGTAAATCATTTAACAGAATAATAGGCCATTCACTGAATAAATTCCCGCCCACATTCCCTCTTGATTAGGGATATATGTAACAACTATGTCTGCATTTAAAACCCTTGTTTACCATCGTGGTACACCGGAGTTTCCGTTTGTAGTATGTCCGACACATGGAAATCCTTATCCTTGCCTTCACTCCAGGTGAAAGCGACAGAACGGAATCCATCGGGTACATTTCATTCAAAGATTTGAGAAATGGAGCCCCCATGGCACACCTGTCGCAGTGATCTCAGGAGAGAATTACCCGTGGTAGCTATAGTTGCGGATTGGTAAAACTTCTCTGTGGCACACCTTTCAATGATAAGGGGCACCAAATGCAGGCTCTAGCACCTCAATATGTATCACGTCGTCCAGGAACATGGCGGAGCGCATCAGCCTCCCCACAGTTCTCCACCAGAGCGGAACCAATTTCGCATTCAGTGTTTCACTTTTCTGAACGGCTAAGTCGGTCGACGCAGTACCCTATCTGCGAGCAACCTGATGGCAGTCGTAATACGGCCCACGCATGCGTGATTCACACAATATGTTCGAATGCCCTTTGTAAAGTCCAAAAGGAATTTTGATGTATCCCCAATCTGGATTGCTTACTTGCGGACACGGTATCTCTATTCCCTAATTATTCTGCTCATTTACATTGCTTTACTGTGTCCTACAAGCGGTTACCATATCGTATGTTTATTCCTTTCACTCGATCAGTGACATATCCTTGACGTTTCAAGGTCATTCATATTATTATGTTACTGTGACACTGCCCAAATACTCGCTCCGCCGCACGCTGTACAGTTTCTGCCCGCTTGCACTACGACTGGAAAACCTATTCTAAGTCATGTACTGTATTTAATATGCCTTATAGAATCACAGTTACAGGATAATTCGTTTTATTCTTTTGCCCAGACCGTGCGTTAAGTCTAGGTTTATTTGTTCCTAGTTTCTAGTTTAGTTTTCGTATGACGTACTTAGTTTAGGCTTCGTATCATTGGTACACCCTACTTCAACACCGGGATGACGTACACTTGACGCTTGTATTTGCCAGACTGATTACCGAATTTGAGTCCTGAAACAATGAACAGAGGCAACAGTCCTTCGCTCTATTAGTAGACTCCAACTTCACGTTAATTATCTAGGGTCCTTGCGCCTTTCTCGTGTACACGGCGATACACACGTATAGTCATGTCACGTGATCGCTGACAACTATTATAATACACATACAAAATCGCGGGCTCTAAGGCCAACTTCGAATTCTATGCCTACAACTCACAACGCCTTGCTGGAATGAGACATGTCCGTTCTGTTTTCTCTACCTATGCGGTGATTACACATGTACTGGTTTTTTGCTCACACTAATGGAACACACTGGTTTGTTTTTCTGATGTCTTCATCTTACTTAGATGCACGTGTCCCCTGATGCCAAGCTTGTCTGGTGCCTGCGGAATTCCCCTAAGGATGGTTTTGCTGGCTACACCGCGAATGTCTGTTTGGAGCCCAAAGGTGTTGCCGGATTGTGTGCAGCTTGGACAAGTGGGCAGTCAGGTCATTGGGAAACGAACGTGTTACTGCGCGTGACAAGTCTTGACTTAAAGAATACCCACGTGATATTCACCACATGCTCTGGTCAATTGAAGGTGGGTGTGCGGTGTTGCTCCATCCTGTACTCACTATTCCAAACCAGTCTCGGATCTTTTCGGTCTTCTTTGGTGAATAGGTTTCAGTTGACATTCGAATCATCGACCTCGTAGCTGCTTGCTGAATAAGCTGTCAGCTTTTGCACTTAACACCAGCTACATCAACTAAGAGTTCATTTATCGTTTGGATTGCCTGCTTTGCGTTTAGACCATCTGGGACGAGGATTTGCTTAGAATGTATTCATCCCAGCAGCTCACAAGCTACCTAGCACAACCCTCAATCCGAAAAAGCATCATGCGCACGTTTCGCCCTGTTGGGGCTACTCAGTGGTACGCCTCCTTCGGTCCCCTACTGAGGATCGAACCCATGACCACTATTGGCTGATGCCAACTAGTCAGCAGTCTAATCCACTGAGCCATGAGGGACGGTGTTTGAGCTACATAATTTGCAAGCTAACTGGGCGAAACGCGCGTCTGGTGCTATTCCGAATTGGGCATTGTGCTATGTAGCTTTTGAGCTTCTGGAACGGACACATTACAATTACTACTAAAATATTCCTACTCATGCTTTGCTTAGAACCAAACTTCGATCATTGACACCTTATCCGATGCAATGGGGTTGCTGGTGTCGTTCTCTGAACGTTGCGATCGGTTGCTAGCCTTCTTTGTGGATACTTCAGAGGTATGCGGCTTGGTCTCTCTCCGTACACAACCGTAGTTTTCGAAATCGTGACAATTTGCCCTAGTGACATACACGATCCGGATTGCGTTTACCTGTATCTCATTCCTATCGATGTGTCTGCTAGAAGGCGGTCCAGCAAAACAAGCTACTGTCTAAGCTTTCACTTTTATGTTTTACCCATGGTCCGTTCCTGGTGCTCATTTGTAATTTCCTCTCCATAGTCCACTGAATAGAATGCGATAGCTTGCGAATTCACCATTTACGACACTTTACACTGTCACTCTTATCTCGTGCGGTGCTGTTGTTAACGTAGAAATAACATGTCACCGCCAATTGCTGTTTCTTCAGACCTGAATTTGTGGGGCAACATTTACTGAACCGAACATACTTGCCTTTCCTCAAGTAAAACCTCCGTCTTGATACAATGCGACACAATATTACCATGTATTTCACCTTTCCTTATTCTCCCCGAGCAGGCTCTATAATTTTACATATATTACGGGTAACCTCTATCTCGTTGATTTTTCAAATTCGTCCCATTTCTTCCCTTTCAGATGCAGTTCAATTTGTCGGCCAAACGACCATGTTGTCAGTCATACACTTGGCCATGTCCGAATTATCATCTGTTGCAAGCCGCTGCTTCGGATTCCGGTCTTGTTTGGGCTCTAGCTGTGACGCGGCACAGTTCCGAGAAAACCACAGAAATGAACTGGTCCATGGAAGAATTGGTAACGTATCTTAACTTCTTCTTTTGTTTTCCTGCGCTGGTGATGTTTTGCTCCAAGAACATCACTGATATATTCTGTCAATCTTCTCAGGCGCCGGGTGTGTCTTGTTCCTTCAGCTCTAGTAACTTTTTCAACCCAGTTTTAAGTCTCCGCTCCTGTGTAGATTTGAGTGACTTAGCAATGTCCCAGCTCGCATACATTAGCCTGCGATTCCGTGACAGGAAAGCACTAACCCAGCGCGCTAGTATATTACTAACACTATATCCACGCGCAAATTGCTGGCATCACCAACTACAGCAGGACTTTTAATGTTGCTCTCCATTTTCATTCAACTCACTCTTATCGTGGTTGGATTGTTCATTCTCTCTTCAGTAGCGGGAGTTGTGTTATCCTGGTTGGCCGGCATCCACCACCTTTCGATCATGTTTAACCGCGATACCAAAACAGTTGCCCCGAACCTCTTTCCTTTTCTTGCTTTCCTGGGCCTTTTTTGCAGGGACACGCTCCTCGATCTATTTTCTTTCAGGTATCTTTTTCCTTCGTGAATTTCCAAGGTCACGGACTCGTTAGTTAAGCTCAACTGAAACAATGATTCCGAAACTAATCATCCGACACCATGCAGCAACTTGTCGCTCTATGAGTTGGATGATTTTCTCTTCATCCATGTGTTTATTGCCTTCTTTGTGTTCATTAGCTCTGGGTTACGCTTCTCTCGCTCTTCAACCATTTTCCTATGCTCTTCCATCGTCTAACTATTAAAATTAAGTCAACTGTGTTACCTTTGCTTTCCAACAGAAATAACTGTAGGCTAGAGAGCTTGCACACAACTAGCAATCAAACTTATCAGCTGGCTCACCCAATATCGATCTATCGGCTTTAGGAACTTTCGCTTTACTGCCTGTTTTCCATGTTGCCGATCCTTTTCCGACAGTGTTTGCTATCCGCTTCGGTGCCAGACACCGATGGAACTGATTGCACCAATCGTCCAGTCAAAGACTCTCTACGTGCATCACGTTGGCTCCCGATACAAATGCCCCCGTTGCTTCAATCCAGCGCTCGTCACTTGGTGCACCGAGCCACTTCCTTGGACAATCTGATACAAACCGTGAACTCGGTCTTTCAAATTTCTTTCTCTACTCAACGTTGCCCCAACGCCACTCCGAAGCAAAAGCTACTCTCCACTGGATGGTTGTTTGTACGGCCACCGGCTTTTGAATCGATCACTGATTCATCTATAGTGGCGGATGGAACGCTGGAGACCGCAATGTTGTTGTATGGTTGTGGATTTTTTCTACCCAACTTGTGCCCACTTTACAAACCGAACGATTCTAATTGGCATCAGGTAAATGTTTCTCCTTGTGAACCCTTACCCATTTGTTCTTTCACGGGCTATCGTTTGCTGGGCTCTCCATCGTTACCACTTAGTGATGTGCGCCCATATATCGTCTACTTTTCTAGCTTTAGCGAACTTCTCGATCCTAATGTCATTTGTCAGCTCAGGTTCTTTGAAGGATAAAATGGAATAGATATATAGGATTATACTGATCAGTGTATGTTTGAACCGGGTACTGATCATAATCACTGTAACCGCTTCATCAAGGAGGCTTGCGCCGACTCTTCAGAGGTACGAACACTGCACCAGTAACTTTATCAGAAACGCAGATTATAAGCCCTTGAGTAATTCATTTCATTGTCTACCATAGTACAACGCCAACCGACTTCGACTTGAGATATGGATGTCCAGTTTTCCCTTCTTGCTAGATTTCTACCTGGATTGGGCTGTCAGCGTGTTGTCATTTATTTTTACGAAATTGGAAAGGAAATCTGACTTTGGAGGTGTATCTCACCTGTGTTGCACCATGGAAAGACTTTTCTGAAATCCCATGCAACACCCTACGTATTTCTTCGGTATACTAATAATTAAATAAATAAATAAACGTTTTATTCCTCAATAGTGCGAGGCACAAACCAATTGGGTGGTCTTGTCGACATGTACAACGTGATCGCATAATATAGTTAATTTTACGTGCTTTGTACAAAGGTTCTCATTTGGGTTTTTTGAAGTGATCAGCAGTTTGAAAATAGTAGAGAGATAAAAAAAACTGGGAACAATAATAAAGGCAGATTTCACGGAAAGTTCAAGCAAAGTAATACGGCCATCCATGGAACTGTCCCCAGGGGACTTGCTTCCATGCAGGGTATTCCCACGATGGGTTTCACCCGCACTTCCATGCTCCAATTGGCTCTGTGCCCGTGTGGCAAAATAGTAAATAGGCCATCAGAATTGGGTATCAGATGACTTTTTTAGGGCTGTTTTATGCATACCTTATTGGCGATGAAGCCTCAGCCCGTTCCGTCATGTGGATCAATCAAGTATGGCACCTTTTTGTTTTAAGCCAGCGAGTCAGTAGTAATATGATTTGCTTGGGTCCACTTTTTATTTTGGAAGCTGTAATCCGTCACCACAAGAGATCAGCCCAGCCATGACCAACAGTGAAACAAAGAAGATAAAGTATGAGGAATTATAAAACATAATAATGAATACAAACGCTTGCCGATAGGCCAACCACAATTTGATGGAAAATCTTGGCGAGTGATGACGATAGTACAGAGACATCAGCTTGAAAGGCGTAGTGCGTCTACGAACTAGTGTGTCGAAGGAGAAAACAGAATTGGTTAGGCGGATTGATAGGAGTAAGATCGTTTACAAATACATACTCAAGAATTCAACTATATGTAGGTAAGCTTATGGTATTGAAACGAATAGAGGATATGGTGACCTTCATATGTATCCAGGACCTTTCTCTTACAAATCATCTAGAGTCACCGTTTGGCTTAGTGTTGACCAGATAAGACTATCGTACTAGCAAAGGATTTTCTCTTTGCACTTCACATTGATCCATGTTTTCGACCGAGAGACATCCATAACAAATCGTTCGAGTGGTTACCCCTCCTGTAACCTCTGATAGAAAGCGATTCTTCGGTAGACTTATCGCCTCTCCACTCACCAATTCCAATCTGTTTTTGACCGGCGATTCACTGGCTTGGAATGCCTGCGGCTACTATATTAGTTCTTTTCACATCCCGTCATCCTCTTTCTCTCGGAATAACAGTTCACACATTTACTCTGACTGTGTCTCCTTCGTAACGTGCACCTCTGACTTTGTTAGCATTGGCTCGTCAAGGCTATGAAGTGCAATGCATTTCACCTCGTATGGACTCTTATGCATATGATCCCGGCTTCGATCAGTGTTGTGGATTAGAGCAAGTTATATTGGAAAGACGACCAGGCGACTGTCTGAGACAGTCCGAGAACATTGCCCGGCGGGGCCCTACCCTGGTGTCAGAAAGACAGTAGTCAGCGCGGTGCTGTGGCATTTGGTCTACACAAGTCACGAAGTGAATGTGCGAGAGGCCTTCCGGCCTATCTACAAGATATCTGGACATCAAGCGTTAGATCTCCGCTGTCGCCAATAGGCGACATCGGAGGCAATCGCTGTTCGGCTCCATAACCCCGACTTATGTGCTCAAAGGAAGTTTGTACAGGCTCTACAGCTACCATGGCCTCAAGCTTCCTCATGTCATGACGCCACGCTTGACCCTTCCACTAATATTGCCCAAGCCAGTCGTCACTTGATCTCATTGACCGGTCAATTCACTTCATTTAATCATCATATTTAAATACCCTGTGTTTGTTTTATTCCTATTTTCTGTGGGGTATTGACCTGATACGAACCACCGAAAACAAGCTTGTTCGCCTAACCGTCTTTTGCTTCTGAAATCCGGAAAGTGTTGTTATGGTCTGCTTAACGCTTTATCGTTGTGTACGTTTTACTTTCCAGTCGGCTGCTTAATGGATGGGCCACTGATGTATGTCGTTTGAGCTGTGTATGATGTTGAGTTATCTATGACTAGACAATGTATGCAACATGGAAGCTATCTCACCAGTACCACCTCACTCACACTTTACTGCTATTGGCACGCTGTTTGCGCCTTGATCCAGGCCTTTGCGTTTCTTGCTTGGTCAATCTTTTCCTCATTTTTTATTCCTTACGCTGGGAACTTATAGTTTCCAAACCTTTGTACAAAGTAATGATACGTTGCCAATGTGTTTTCTTTGTTGTAATACTCTCGTCTGGATACAGCGCCTCTAGTCGAAATAACGATTCGGCTCTTGTGACGGTCTTGCACGGACAAGTGGCTGATCGAATTCGGATCGATTCGCTCCGGACGACATAGTCAGTCAACGGTGCTACCTCTTTATTCCGAGACCAACTCGGGCACTACACCACTACTCGCGGCCCCGAGAGAGAAAGAGGCAAAGACCTTCAGTGGCAGCGATTTCGCGACTCAAGCCAATAGCCTACACGGTCTGCACAGCCTGGTATTTCTAGCATGGATGACCATCAGTATCACCAAGGTGGTCATGCAATCGATGACCTGGTAACAGTGTCTCTTAAGTAGGCTATGGATACTTGCCAGCTGATAACCTGTCACCGATAATGCATCGCGTAACCGTTCCACGGCTACACGCGTGGCGAAATTAAAGGATGGGAAAGTGCTCCGGCACGAAGTTCTGTGGAACCATGAACTCTCCACAACATTTTTATCTCGTAGACGCTTGTCCGTCTCCTCGGATGAGGCAGATCAGTTCTCGCTTGTTTCTGGTAAGTATTCGGCATCAGTACCGACACTTTGCCGCCACGTAGCCATCAACAGTTGCGCGGCAGCGAAGCGTCACTACTGCATACCAGCGTACTGCTTATGCCGATAATTATCATTCTCTATCTCACTAACGTCCACTGTTCATAAATGCTGTCAGTCAGTTCCAAAAATTAAGTTACCGTTTTATTCGGAATTGTAACTGAATGCATTTCCCCCTGTTTGCCTATATTCATGGCGTACTCCGGATTTCATTCTATATCTGAATCCACAACTGAACTACTTCACGTGCATTTTTCATGGACAGCACAATCTCATGCACTAGACATCTGAATGTTAAAGCTAATGCTCGATACACTCTTCCGTACCAGTTGTTATACACACGCAAACAAATGACGCACTTCTTATTCGCGGTGCATTGTAGCCTAGCCTCAGACCAACTGAGTGCTAGCTCTCACACCTTCGATGTTTCCTTTACCAACACACGAGTGTTGGCCAAATTTGGTTTTGTGCAAAATATAGTTTTGCGGGATCCGTTTTTAGACTTGTCTGTCACGGCAACTGCGAACAGGCAAAGGACGTCCTCACTAACAGAGTGATCTTGAAGTGACTTGTTTTGAACCATCTACAGTTTCATTCACACACCCGACATTCATTTTTAATCCGGAAGTATTAAGTCAGAGGCATGTGGATGGGAAAAGCGATTGATTCGGAGCCGCCCAACGCTCCTTCATCCTGCATATCATTCGTCTGAATAGGGGGACAGGTATATACCAGTCGTCCACTGGGCGTTGATTGGGCCATAGGTCATTCCGCATTCTTTTAGCCTAGCACTGTCACGAAGATCATCTTACGTAGAAACGATTAAAAGTCTCTTTGGAGCAAGTCATCGTAGTCGCATTTTTCGACAGATGGGTACCTTGTCAGTCTTCAGACTAGGTGCAGTCAGACCCGAAATGTCGAACGACAAAGACTGCCAACTATCCAGCAACGCCGGAATACATAGGCGAGTATCCTGAAGTTCCAGAGACTGCGTATTGACCCCATATCCAGGTTGGCGATTTGATTTTTCACATGAAGACATTTCTGATGTTAATAACGTCTGATGGATATGCGACCAGTGATCCAACTATGTTCAGTGTGCGCTTACTCAGCTCGAATGCCAACATATTTTATTATGCATTCAGAACATTTGGCAGGTATCTATGCGTTCACGACGCCGGTGCAGACGTTCACCGAAACATGCTCGCAGATCGGCGCAAACAAGTGCGCGGTCAGAGTCTACGCTCGAGCTCCAAATCGAACGACAATTTCGGACGCAGTCTCTCCAGTGGTAACTGAACGCGATGTGATCGATTTGCTTCCACAGCTGGCCCAAAGCTCGTGGGCACCATGTCACGCTTCTGCGAGTGCTGTGTCGGAAGTTAGTGCTAGAGAGAAAGAGATGACCATCTTCACACAGATGTAGCAACCGCTCATCGTTATCATTACAGGAGTCTAAACCATGCTGGGCTCACCAGTGGACAGTTCTCCAATTTTGGCGTTCAAATCACCAGCAAACACCACAGTATCCGTACATTTGAAATGCAGCAACGCGTTCACTTGGTAATAGGAATCGTTTTTCACCGAGTCGACACTACAATTGGTGGGCGGCTAGGCCGCAATGACAAACAATCGCCG